AGAATCCTTTCCTGCATCTTCACCAACCTCCCTCTGTTGGAAAACCACATGCAGTAGCTCTTCATATTGACAACAAAAAGACACCTCCAGAGAAAGAAAAACAGTGCCAGGATTCCAACGGCTCCTCCTTTTGGACCACGAACACTCTTTCCTCATCTGCCTATGGCATTGTATTGGGAACCAGGTGACCCGAGTTCCACTCCCAACTCTGCCATTGACTTGCTGTGGGGCCTTAGGCAAACCACTTCGCTGCTCTGTGCCTCAGTTTCCCCAACTGTGGCTCAGTAGGATAGATAGCATTGGGCAGGTCTGTACAGCATGCCCCACGCGGCTTCACAGGCAGAATAGGTCAGTTGCACAGCCGGCCTGCCCAGATCTTTGGCAGTAAAGCAGACTCACTGGATGCTAGGAGCTTCCGCCAGGAGGGAAGAGACCCCAGATGAAGAGCCACTTTCAGCAGGATAGTCAAAAAAACTTGACCTTGTGGCCGGTGAAACCCTCCTCGAAGCAGAGCTGTGAACCTTGCTGCTCCAGCAAGTCCAAGCCATGGAACTGTTGGGGAGTCCATCTGTTCGCTACATCTGCACCTCCTCGGCATGACTAACCACAGCGGAGTCCGATCAGTGCCCTGAGATTCAAAGCTATGTCAGAGCCGGGGAGCGTGTTTCTCCTGAGCGCAGGGGGAGTGACGGAGCACAGTTAGCTCAGGGTGCAAGTGTGAAGTTCTCAACAAGAATCTTCCTGACCCTCTCCCTGGGGGTCTGCCCGGAAGGGAAGTGCCCCCAACTAACAAGCTGATCCTTAAAGGAGCTTTCCATGGACAAGCAGAGTGTGGTGATTGCTGGGTGATGGCAGCTGGTGACAACCGGACTGCCCTGTTTCATGCCTTCCTGTCCATCTTTGCTCTGATAAACATTCATCATCAGCCCCGCCACTCACACAGCCTTTCTGAGGGTGGGTATTACGATCCCCATTTTGTAGATGGAGGAACGGAGACAAGAGAGAGGTGAAGTGACTTGCACAAGGTCACAGAGAAGGTCAGAGTCAGGAAGAGGAACCAATTTCCTAGTCCAGTGTCCTGCCTATTGGATCACATAACCTCCATTTCTGGAAATAAAGCTCCTCCCATTCCAACCCCCCATGTTTTGTTTTGTTTTTAAATCCCAACTAAGACCTCCGCCCCAACCACGGGCTCCTGCTCCTTACTTCCCTCCCCCAGATGCATCCAACTTCCCACCCTCTCCCTGTCTAACAAACAAACTATCTCTCACTGACCTGGCTACTCTGACACATGGCTATTTCTGTTGTGTGGCTGAGGCCTCGGCACAGACCGAACCCGACAGGGGTCTGCGAACGGTGCAGGACAGCATGGAGGGGTTTGACGCTCACAGCATTTGAGAGATCCATACTGGAATACTGCATCCAGTTCTGGTGTCTATATTTCTAAAAGGGTGCAGGAAAGAGCCACAAAAATGACTTGAGGGCAGGAGAAAGTGCCGTAGAGTGAGAAACTTGAAGAGCTCAGTGTGCTTAATTTATCAAAAAGAAAATGGAGAGGTGATTTGATTACGGCATACCTGTAGCTTCACAGGGAGAAAATACTAGATACTAAAGGGATCTTTAATCTGGCAGAGAGAGACATAACAAGCCGGGTGGATTGATTTATATCAAAGAAATTTAAATCAATCAATTTTAATGATGATTAAAATAAATTATTTAAATTGAGGTTTAAAACTCCTTGCTGATTGAAATCATGCTTTGCATTTCTACTTTTTAGTTATTTTCCTTAAAGGTTGATCTCATTAGTTGGTAACCACTAAAACATGTTGATTCGCAGCTAAATATAGCATTTACACTAAATTTGGTATTTTTTGCTAACGAGAAGGATATCCTGTATCTATACAAATTTATTTAAGCAATTATATAGTATAATTTATATAACTTAATTTATTCAGATTCTTAATTTTTACATTTTTATATTAGAATATGGTTAATGATCCATTTCTTATTTACTAGATGATGATTAATTTATTTACTTGTGATTGTATTCATGCTCTATTTGGATGTTAATTCAAATTCAATTAAAATGCACAAAAAGAGCATTTCTCTGACATAAATAAAAGTACCTTAAAAGTGCTGGATACATAACCAAACAGTTTATTAAAACATATTTTACATTTTAAGCTAAATGAGCTATTAAACAAAGGAAGTATTATCTGTAGTTAATGAACCGAACAGCTTGCTTTTGGTCACCATGTCCTTCAAGGATTTTAGAACTAGTAGATCTCATCTCTCACACCTAGTTTTTATTCATAGATTGGAAGAGGAAAACAAGCTTTCCTGTTTTTTTCAATTCCCAATTGGTTTCTTAACTTTGAATGAACTGGTCATTGAATTGAACTGGCTGAATAAACTAAAACGAAGAAAATATTCTTTCCGCACAAGCAGAAGAGGCTACTGTTGTCAAAAACTGATTTAATAACTTCAATGAACTTGGGTTCTGGGTGCTGACCCAGTGACTCCTACCAGTTCAGTGGTCTGACTTTCTTTAAAACACTGCAGCAAACATATACTGCTTACCATTTTTTTGGTATTTAATTTAAATTATTTTAATAGATTATAATAAGTTGAGGCCTTAACATAGGTTGTCAATTTCACATTTAATTTTCAATAGGTTTGTTTAAAAAAATAAACCTGCATTAAATTTAAATTTAAAAAATCCTTAAAAAAAAATCATTTATTTGTATCCACTCTCCATCCAACATGATCCAAAAGCTCGAAGTTAAAACCAGACAAATCAAATCATATAACAGAGTACAATGGTGATTAACCATTGGAACAAATCCCCAGGGGATGGGGTGGATTCTCTATCCACGATATCTTTAGATCAAGACTGGATGCCCTTCTGGGAGATGCTTTAGTCAAACAAGTTACTGGGCTCAATACAGGGGTAACTGAAATTTGAGGCCTGCGTTATACCGGAGATCAGACTAGATGATCTAAAATGATCTTTTCGGGCCTTGACATCTATGAATCTGTGAAAGTGACCGAGGGATCAGGGCAGGAAAGGGCGAGAGAATTGGGCGATGGGGTGGAAAAGGGGTTGGAGAGACTGAAGAGATGAGACAGAGATGTGAGCTTTAATCCGATCACTCTTCCCCCACTGGGAGCTCAGAGCGGATGCCCCCCTCCTGGGCTATAATCACATTCCCTCCAAGTGGGCTGAAGAGCAGAAGGAACAACGCATCTGACATCTGATGAGGCCGCCAGGAAGAGACCAAAATACACTCTCTCCTCAAGGGCCACTTAAAGGAGAATGGGAGAACTCAGCGCAGCTCCGGTTTACTCCAGCCTCTCAGCAGGATCTCTGGAAGCTCATAGCCCTGCCGGAGGGCTCAGCTATTACACTGAAGCATGCAGCAAACCACACATCAGTGAGAGAGTCCCCAAGGCCATCCGGTTACTCAGCACCGACTATCCCTCGGGTGCTCATTCAGGCCTCTCTGATCTCAAGCGCCGCAGCCTGGGCGTCACAGCTCCTGAATGCCGCGCTGGGGGAGGCTGACACAACTAGCACCACTATAGCTCCAGAGCACAATGTGTCCCAGTCAATGGCTGGGTGAATTAAAGGGGCAGCAATCACGTCGGGGATTCGAGAGGTCTGGGGTCAGATTTACAAAGGTGTTTAAGTGCCTAAAGATGCAGACGGACACAGTGGCGCTGGAACAGTTTTTATAGTGGGGGTGCTGAGAGCCTTTGAACCCACTGTGAACCCAGTAAACCACTTCAAGCCAGGGGGTGCGGTAGAACCCCCAGCTCCAGCACCTACGGACGGACACCGAGCAGAATTTGCAAAAACCCCATAGCAGGTTAGGTACCTGATTTCCACTGAAAGCCAGTGAGAGTTAGGCACTTGTGTCAAACTCCATTAGGCACCCATCTACATCTTTAGGTGCCTACGTATCTTTGGAAATCTGGTCTTTGCTTGCTATGCCTACCCTGACCCGTGACTCACTCTGCAACTTTGGGTGAGCCATGTCCCCGCTCTGTGCCTCGGTTTCCCCATCTATAAGGAGGAGGGGGTGATAATTCTGACACACCTGAGATCTATGGATGGAAAGGGCTATCTAGATGGTAATTATTACTACAGATTACCTTCAAAGCAAGGCAGAGTGCTACTGGCCTGGGAAATCTCCACTAGGCGAGGGAATGACTAGACCCCGTGACAAAGGCAATAACTGCCAGCAGAATCCAAAGAAGAAAGTCAATGGCCTGGGGAAGGTTTTACAGGAAAATTATTTTTTTCCCTGAAGATGGGAGGTTTCAGCATCTCCCAGCTGGCTCAGACACGAGCGTAAGCACGAGAGAGAGACAGAACGGAGAAGAAACATGCCTGGACCCAACATTTCCTATGGAGAAGCCACTGGCAGGAAAGCCTAGGGTGACCAGACATCCCAATAAAATCGGGACCATCCTGATATTTCAGGGTGTGTCGGGGTGTGTCCCATGTCGGGACGCAAATTGTCCCGATATCCGTTGGCAGCGTTATCCGTCAGCTCCGGCGGCAGGGACTGACTCGGCTTTTTTTTTGCTCTTCCCCCCGCATGTGTCCCGATTTTTTCTTTCCCTCATCTGGTCACCCTAGGAAAGCCTCAGTGGTAATGTGAAGGCTCCTGACTTTGGCCTCTCATTCCGCATTCACCCTGAAGACAGCCCTGTCCCAGCGTAAACCGGACTGAGATTGGCCACCAAGAGCTAACTATCGTCCTCTCCAGGAAGGATTGTTTTTCAAAAAGTGCAGCCACGGGTTTTTCAGATTTCATCTAAGTGCCTTTTTTAGCTCAACCAGCTGTTCTCCTCCTCCAGGCTCCCTAGAAACTCTCTTTGGTTAATCCCAGCAACTCTAGTGATATCTACTAATTGCACATGTCCCCGCAGATGAAGTCAGCCAACAAGCCATTATAGAGTCCTGCTGATATTTAATCTCCTAGGCCAGCCAATGCGAATTTGGTTGTCCTGCCTCCCTGCCCCTTCCCTCCATGACTCCTCTAACAGACAGCTCTGCTTACCTTTTCGGAGGGGAACTTCAAAAGGTCTAAACTGTCCATGCTGTTCCTTTGGATTCTCTTAGGCCTGGCTCCTGAAAAACAACAACATGGACTTGCATGAAGTGGCTGTCACCTATTGTCGGCATTAATGTCATGCAGATAAAATTCAATCCACAGCAGACCCTGGCTCCTGTTAACTGGAGTGATATAAAGTCAACAGGACAGGATGTTGCAGCCGGGATGTCCTTGAGATTCAGAACATGTTTTGTTCCCTTTTGTTTGTTTGCTTTTTCAAAACACTATTGCAGTTCAGTTAGTAATAGCTAGAGCCACGCGATACCAACCTAGACACCATGCCAGCGTAGTGCTACAAGACTAGAATCTTAGCCAGATCCTCTGTAGCAGTGTTGCCAACTGCAAACATTTAAAAAAAAAATCACAAGTCCCCCCCTCAAAAAATCATGAGATTGACGTAAAAAACCATGAGATTTAACCAAATAATATGTTTTGGGTTCTGTTTCTTTGCCATCTGGTTTCTGAACCTTTGGGATATGCCTGGGTCACTTCTTCAAGCTTCTCTCCACAACCATGAAGGCTAGAAACTTAAATGAAAGCTGATAAGACTTACAAGCTAACATGACTCCAGGAGCTGGAGCATCAGGAAAATACACCACGTACTGCAAGATTGACAATAAAATCATGAGAGCTGGCAACACTGAAGAGAGTCTCTGAGTTTCCAGCAAATTCATTTTATGAAACCATTACATCAAGAATATTACGGATGAAAATGGATTTAGATTCTGACTCTAGAGTCCCCAAACTTTTTGTCTCCGTCTCTCTCTCTCTCTATCATACTTCCTCTTGCCTCTGCACTTCCAATTAGATACATGCACCGTCCCCACTATGCCATAGTCACCATGGCTGGGAAAACTCCTGGCACAGCCCCCACCCGGCTCTCCCTTCTTCTCGGGAGTCTAGATCTGGGCGGGAACCATGCGACATTCAGTGATTTCAGGTGGCAGAGACGCTAAATTTAGAGGATTGGGACCAGTTTTACATGGAAGTTTTCAGGCTCGGAAAACAAAAGCCATGCCGATTCCTGAGGATGGAAACGACAGCGGTAAGGTTCCTGGTGACTGCAAATTCACCAAGAGCAAAACTAATCTGATTTCCCACAGCAACGCCCATTAATCATCTCAGATATTTGTATTAGGGTAGTGCCCAGGTACCCAGATCAGGATTGAGGTGCCATTGCACTGGGGATTGCACAAAACACAGAGCAAGGTACCTTCCCAGACTCAAAGAATTTACAATCCAGTTTAAGACAAAATGCAACTAATGCATGTAATAGACCGACTAAATGGCAGAGGGAGGGCTAGATAATTGTGGGGAAGCAGAGCAGCATTACGCTTCTACAGGAAACAATGGCACCAAGCTGAGTCCAGCTGCATTGCGAGCCTGTGTGTAACCGGGACCCTCACGGTCTGCAAGTCTCAGCTAGTCTGGAAGGAGCTGGGCTGAAATTCTCTTGGCACACTCAGTGCACCGTTTCCATATGATGAGAGGACAAAGTCCAGATAACTCTTGTTGTGACTGGCGCTGTAATAAAATGTGGTCTAGTGTATGGTGTGATACCGGAGGGCCAGGGAGCAGTGATAGAGTGTTAGAGGGTGTGACGAAGTGGAGAGTTTTCTTGTTTTCTGCTCACGGACCGCACAGGGCCAAGAGTGGGCACGATCTGTGAGTCCGTGACAGAGGGGAAATATATAAGCCCTAGGCTAATTAAGGCGTGGTTCCCTGAGACTAGGGAGGGTTGCTACAGGTTAATTGGAGCACCTGTAGTCAATTAAGGCCCTGTCAGGAATCTAATAAACCCCCTGCTTCAGACAGTCAGAGGGGGAGGAGGAAGGAGAGAGGACTGGAGCTTGGAGGGGTGTTGTGAGATTTAGAAGCATCTAAGGACTGAGGGTAACCCCACCTAAGGAGGAAGAGGGTAAGAGACCCGCAGGAGTTGAGACTCAGAGTGAGGAGCAAACCCAGACCCCTCCCGTGCTTCCCTCCTTTACCACCTTCCTGGGCCACTAGTGGGGTCCCTCAGCACCCAAGAGCAGGGGCAAGGGGTGGTGTCTTAGCCCCCTCCCCCCCCCGAAGAGAAGTGCAGGACCCACCATATGAACATCGGCCATCTTGTCACAATGGTGATTTCATTTTACTAACCTCTATCTAATTGCACAACCCCTAAACTCCGTCCTGTCAGCCTAAAATACTTAGATTATTACAGTCCTAAAGCTGCAGTTCAGCAAGACACTGACACACATTTTTAAGTCCATCTCTATTTAGCAAAGCGTGGCAGCACCTGCTTAGTTTTAAGCATGTGCTAAAGTCACATTAAAATCCACAGGAATTCAACACCCGCTTACAATTGAGCACAGGCTGATGGACTTTGCTGAATTGGAACAGTTTGTGGAATTGGGACCTAAATAGAAATTAAATTTCTCTAGAGAAAAGGATTTTGTTGTTAGGCTCCTAAGCAAAGAGCAAGGCCAACACCGGGGCAACCACCATGTCCCTCCAACAGGGAGATCTGTTGCCTTGCCACAGCTGCAAAGTCAAGGCCAATTTCTCAGCTGGCACTCGCTCAGCAAAACAGGACTCTCTCCCGGAAGTCAGGCAGTTGGCCAGGGTTCAGCCACAGAGCTCGCCCAGCTTTTGGGCAGATGGGAAGATGCCACTCTAAGCAACTCGGGGAGAGCTAATTTGCTTTTGCAATGTTTGCCTCCGTCCCTGCCTACTTTTGCTAAGAGACCTTACAGTGCCTCAGTATCTGAAAGCATTAATCATCAGCCACAGCATTTGCACTCAGAACATGAACAGGGCCCAAGTAAATACGTGCTCGGGTCAAATTCTCTATTGGTGTAAACTGACACAGCTCCGCTGACACCAATGGCATTGCACCAATCTACACCATCAGAAAGTTTGGCCCACTGTCTATAGAGCACCTGTCCTCTAGTCATTTTAAAGCATTTTGCAAACACTGCCCAATCCCCTCCTGCCACCCCCGCCCCAGGACATCACTGTCCCTTGGAACCTAGGCAGAGCCCAGAACTGAACCCAAGGTCACACAGCAAGGGCCTGGGAGACCCAGGAATGGTCACTCCCAGCTCTGAGCACCAAGCCACACTCTCCCCCTTCTCACAAGTCATCTTCGGGCGCTGACAGAACGGAGGGGAGAGGCGCTCTCACCCAGGCTCCCCTGCCCCCACCCCAAATTGAAGTGTGCTCCTCCCATCCCAGTTACAAGAGTTACCTTCCAGGAACCTCCCATTAAAAACAGAAGGTATTTCTCAGACAACATTCGTTTCAGAATAATCTTTCTCCTGCATCTGCAGTGAAGGTTGCTCCCTGAGATCCAGGAGTGCTTTGCACCCTCTAGGTATCAGCGAGACTCAGAGAATCTGGACAGGATTATTATTTCTGCTCCCAGAGATATTCTCTCTGGGTGCTTCTGTATAAACAGGGGGTCCATAGGTGAGTTGGGAAATAGAAGGCTGGAGGGGGCGGTGTTAAGGACCACTCAAAGGGGCCCACAAATCTTCACAGCTACCTGAAAGCTGCTCAAGGCACTGAACTTTCCTTGAAGTAAGTAAGCGACAGCCTCCTTCATTATGTGCAGTGAGGGGTTTGGAACCAAGATCATTAAAGCAGATTCCACATTTTGTTCTTGCTGAAGCAATGCCTTTGAGAGGTGAAGTCCAGTGTTCTAAAGCAAACATGCACCCCGGTGAAAACAAAGAGCAGTGTGTCTGATTAGATAAATAGAGATCATTTCTAACAGCCTAAAGAGTCGTTAATTATACACCTCCATCCTCACTGCTTGAGTGTATTTGCAATAGCATTAGACCGTTGGAGATAAAAGCATTAATCTTTGATCTGACAAACCTACCTTTCCTTTGTTACTTTAATATATGTATTCAGCGGAGACTTTCCCAGTAATTGGGGTGTAACACAACAATTTGTTTTTTCAGTTGTGGCAGTGTGTTCTTCCTTTATTGCCACTAGGATTTCAAATTCAGATGAGGGAAAAGTTAAGAGTTAACCAATACACCTTCCAAATATCTCATTACCTGGGAGTGAAATTAAAATCAGTTATGGGGCCAAATTCTGAACTCAGTTACCACAATTTTGCCACACTTCCACTGAGGAATACCTAACTCTGCAAGCAGCCCCATTCAAACAAATGGACAAAGAGTAAGGTACTGTATTACTCAGTGTGAGTAAAGGTCTCAGAAGCTAGTCCTGAGTTTGGAGTAAATCCACAAAGCTCATTGGAGTTTCTCCACATTTACACAGGGGTGCAACCAACACCAGAATGTGGTGCCTTTAATCTTCGTATCACACTCAGCCTCAAGAATAGCAGAGACTTCCATACTCACCTAACCACTGAGAAAATGTGAATCCAGCTAATTCTCTATCACGGACCAGGGCATCTCTTCAGATGGCTCCAAAGTAACTTCAGGGTGAACTCAATCCCTTCCCCACAACCTCCTCCAGATTATTTTTCCCAGAGATATTTGTAACTGCCTTATATTCAGCCAAAAAAAAAAAAAGAAACACTCTCTTTCCTCCACTGATCAACAGCAGCAGCAGTGGATGCAAAAGATTGAGCAACTGAAAACCTGTGTCTGCTACTCTGTACTTTTTTTTCTTCTCCCCTGTATTTATTGGCATGTTTATGAAGCCCATTGCAGACTAACGGAAAACCTCAGGGGCATTTCTAAATGCTCTCTCTGTCTTTAAGGTTTGCAGAGGTCTTTAATCTAGCAAGTTGAAACCTTTTTGTGAACATCAGCTGAGCAACCTAACTGACTGACTGTATTCATAGCTTGGGTTTTTTGGTTTTTTTTTGAGAATCTGGGTTTTTTGTTTTTGATACTCAAGGTCATGGGTTGTTTTTTTTTAAATCATTTTTAAAAAATATATCCCCCTTATGAGCTAAATAGCTCGATTAACCAATCAGAATCTCTCTGGCTTGACGATTTGGGCTGGGTTAAATGTTTTTCACATTTCAGTTTTTGCGTTTTATAAAACCGGA